AAATACTTAAGTGTTCAAAAGTACATTTTTCATGTCAACACAGTGTTGTTTTGTTCCACATTTAAAGAAACTAATGACCGTGAAATAACCTACTGACTGACTGTAGAACCTGTAGAATAAAGAGCTTGTAGAGTATGATACAGAGCCAATAGACATGGCCATAAAACACAACTGAATCATCAAAAGGACAGCGAACTATCACAAGCTGTCCATTTAAAAGTTTATTCGGGAATTAAACAAATGTTACATACCGTAACGTGCTTTCTCAAGTTGGATGGCAGTGATGGAGTTTGGTCATTTAAAAAGAGAGGAATCTTTCTTTATGTCTATATGGACTAGCACAACATGACTGACAGCATAGGGGTTGACTGTGATTGGTCTTTCTCTGTATGGTCTATCACACTTTAGAAAATAAAGGAAAATGAATTCACTGACTAAAAGCTCTGCTTCAAAGTAACGAGTCAAAAGGACAATATTTGTCTTTTTAAGTGTAGTGGAGTAAAAGTCTGAAGTTTTCAAAAATGATAATACTCAGGTAAAGTACAGATATTTGAAAAATGTACTTAAGTACAGTAATCAGGTAAATCTACTTAGTTACTGTCCACAGCTGGTGAAATGACGCTTTAAGAGATGAGAGTGAACTAAAAACAGTAAAGTCAGAGGCTGGAAAAATTCTGAGATTCTGATTCGTTGTTAATATTAAAAACATTGATTGTAGCCGTTTTAAGAATGTGTTTTATGCCTTTATTATAAAGTGTTAGTTGTAAAGTAGTTGTTTAACTTGTGAGAAGTTGGTTCTAATATGATTTTTGTTTTGAAAGTACATTCCCTGATTTTGTTGTAGCCATTGGGAGGAAGACTTTACTATTATGTTGTTGTGTCCAGATTTTCTCTAACGAGTATCATTTTAAGATTTTCCTATTTTGTTGTGGTCCATAAGCCACATACTTATATATAGCTTGTATACTTACATACAGAGGCAGAGCATAGACCCAACAACAGTATGTTCACTGCGTGGGTTACCAGCTAAAAACACAAACCTGCTGATAAGATGCCTCAATATATCAAGATACATCAAATCACCTTCTGGTCTGCAAACAGGCTACTGTTTAAAATGCATATTTCATTTTTTTATTGTTAATTACGGCACACATTCGTCAGAGTTATTTTATTATTGCAGACATCCTCTAATGTTCACTGCAATGGGAATTCATGTAGTCAGTGACAGCCGCCAGGCTTTCCCCCTCACTCATTATCCATGATTACAAAGCGTTTCAAATGCAACCAAATGACAAACAATAATAGAATCTGAGTGATAGTTGTTGCCATTATGGGTTTTGTAATCTGTGTTATTATATGATTGTAAAGAAAGAAAGAAATATAGAGGCTTTTCTGTCAAAATGAATGAATCACTTTCAGCTGATGAACAGTGAGCCAGACTAACACTAGTCCTTTGTGATTCCAAATAACATCTAGTTCTCATTCAAGGCATCAGCAGCTGGTATCTGTTTTCTCCCAGCATGCAATGACTCTGATTTTCTGAGAGCAGAGGACTCCAGGCTCACTGCTGGTGAGAAATGTGAAAACTACTAATCACAATACATACCTGCAGTCAGAGCAGACTGGCCTGAAGTGAATGGATTTCATAAAACTAATGAATGAAGTTTTTCCTCATCAAACAGAAACTGAAATGTAAAAATGTAGATGCTATGAAATGTTGAATACTTAATGGAGTGGAACTTGTTATGTCCATTGTGTTTCCATCACTCAACTGACAGACTCAGGTCAGTGTGCTATTCTGGTAAAACAAATACCAGGCATGACCACAGGGTGGCACTGTCACCTACTGCCCACTACTGTTAGAAAGGTATAGCAAATTTAATATACCAGACCATTCACACTCAACATATTTTATATATGAAACTGCAGATTTTGTACTTAAATTTTCTTAACATCAACCATAGATAAAACAAGACCCACAAACCACTGTTTTTTTAATTTTAATTTAATTTTTTAAGATAATCTATTTTAGGTAAGGCATTTTAGGTTTGCATGGTGAAAATCATGTGATGCTCATATCTCATGAAGTGATTTTCTACCTTCAGAACTCGTCCAAAAAAATCAAGAGACCAGACACCTGACAAGACCACCAACTGCCAGTCACTGGTAGGACTGATGAACACAGGCAGCAGTGGATGTGTATTCACATCCTTCACTCAAGTAAAAGTAGGAATACTACACTATAAAACACCAGTAGAGACATCACTCCCGACATCACATACTGTTGAAGCAGATGGTGACAGGTGTCTTACTATAACCGAGACTAGCTGTCAGTCTATTCAGTGTTTAAGAGAGACACCTGACTGTGAGGCCTTATGGCACTGTTTCATTAATGAAGCTCAGTCTCAAACTCAAACACGATGAGCCTACATGCCTGTCAACCAGCCTGCAGTGAACTACTCTCAGTTTTAGCAGCTGACAGCGTTCACTGCCAGGTTTACGTTCTGTGTTTGATGATCATACCTCACTGTTTGTTGTTTCCGTATCAAAGACAATTCATTTTGAAAGTTAGCTTCACTGGAAAGCTCCAGAGACAGTTTGTGCAAATGTTCTCCTTCTGCCCTGCAGCAACTCAAATACTTACACCTGCTTTAAACACAGCTCTGACATATCATCTTCTAAAGATAATATGGTGAACTTGTTAGCACGTTTACACATGCAGCAGGTACAAAGCAGCATTTTTATTCATTTGGAGTCATGTGTCCGTCCATGTGGCGAATGCAAGTCCGATAATCACTTTTGTTTTAGCTCTGTTTTGTTGGTCAACTCCAGAAGGAAGTATCTGAGACTTAAGCTGTGACATGATCCATTATGTTCATCAGCTAGCTTCTAACTCTGTCTGTCATCACGCTCTGTAGAGCTGAGGGGAACCGCAGCGTGTTGATTCATCTCTTTAAGCGGCCAATTTCATTTGGCACCTAATCATTGGATCCATTTTAATATGAATACATTGATAATAGCTGCTTTAACATCCTGATATTTAGCTATCCCATATGTCAACATTTCTGATTACATATTATTCTGATTTTGCCATTTCCTACGGCAGCACTTTGCAGCTGTTGCAGTCGTTTAAAGCCACTTTAAAGCTGCTACATGTAGAATCTATATGTGATTATAGCATCTGTTATTCTGATGGCTTTAGTTTCTGTTTGTAGAGTAAATCGACAATCCCAGTCACTTTCAGCCTATTATTTTCTCGTGTTGGATCTGTGTGTGTGTGTGTGTGTGTTTGTGTGTGTGTGTTTGTGTGTGTGTGTGTGTGTGTGTGTGTGTGTGTGTGGGTACTCTTATAAAGAATGATGATGAAGAGCGAATGGTATTTCTATTCCCTGTGTTTCCTGTAATAAAACGGTTCAGTCTAATGCTTGCTGAGACGTATTGTAACATGAACTTGTATTTGAAGTGTGATAACACTTCTTTGGTGTTTCTTGTGCAGACCAAGTATCTAAGCTAATTAAAACCCCTATTTCTGTAGTGTTGTTTGAGCTCCTGTCATGGATGGGGTGGATGTGATATAACAAACTTAAGTACAAACTCACAGTTTTTGTTGTGTCACAGTAGGATGTTGTTTGAGAATGTATCATATGGTGCTATGGTGTCCCTGTGTGAGCACAGTACTGAGAAGATAAAGCACTTCAGGATGATGTTGCCTCCTGCGTGAAACTGCTCATGACACTAAGAAGCACTGATCACAACCATGTTACCCTGTCAGCCAGAGGAGCTGGCAGCACTGTGTCCACCCTTGTGTTCAACCTTATTGTCACTTGGATATGTGGCCTTTTGCTTTTGCAAAATCATCTCCATGAGAAAAGATGTCTGGATATTTCAGGTGTTTCAGGCAGGTGTGGAAAAGAAGGGGGTCCAGCACAGACCTGCGTGCATACGATAGTATGTGTGTTATGAGAATGTAGCTGACAGCGGGGTTGAGAACCAGCTTGTCAATCCAGGACTTGAGGTGGCTTCTGGGGATTGATTTTTGGTCTGTCTGACATCCAATCTTGACACTAGTAGCTCAGGAAGGACTTTAACCTTGTGGCTTGTAGATGGAGTCATTGGTTTGTTGTGTCTCTGCTGTCCAGCCTCTGTGAAACTTTAATGTTCAGTGACACTCGCAGCCGTTAATTTAACTATGTGGTAAATTTTGAGACCAGAGTTTATGATCTTCTTCTTCTCCTTCTTCTCGAATTTATTATAGTCAAGCAGCCTTGATATTTTGTATAACAAAACCTGATACAAGAAACCAGTCTGAAGGACAGTTTAAAATCTGTACTTAAAAAATGCAGACAGTAGTCGCAGACTACTGCACTGAACTGCATTAGTTTGTGTTCTTGACATTGTCTCTCTTCATACAGTGACACACAGCTCTTATTGGTCTCTGTTATTGCAAACTAAACCGAATCATTCAAACAGCAGCACTTAAGTCTGGTCACAGCTTTATGGATTTCAAGAAATGAGTCATTTTATTGTATTTTTTTTTCTATCAAGTAGAATTAATAAAAGCAGAGTGAGGTGTTTATGCCTCAGTCTAAAATGTTAAAGCTTGTTTTACTGCAGTATCAGCGATTCAACCATCAGGTGGCACTATTCTTCCTGTCAATATCAGGGTTAATTAAATTGGTTAAAATAGATTATCTGAACATGCAAGAGTTCAGGTTTGTATAGTGAACATGAATGTTTTCTTTCTTTTATCTTGTTTGTGGTTACGGACCAAACACTGGTTTCACAAACCATTTGAACATCCTCCTTTTAAACTTGAAGTGCGGTGACAGACTGCTGACAGCTATATACACAAACCAGCTGAGATAGTGCCATGTGCCTCACCTCGGTCCATTAAAGTGAAAAACAATCTCAAGTAGTGCAAGTGTAAACAAACTGACTTCACTCCGTTCAAACTGAAGGCATTTAATAAAATAAAATGCTCATGAATGAAACAGCTGGGTTTCATTTACAGTTTAAAGCAGTTTCACTGTAATCAACATGTGTCTTTGTTCATGTACAGTCAGAAGAATCTGTCCACCCACATGAAGCAGCTTTAAGGCTTTTATCCATCACGATCGCGACATGTAGCAACCAGTGGATTCCCACAGAAACACTATAATCTCGGTAATGCTTCATCTCTGTTAGTATGACATTTTTATTAACATGGGTGTATGCTCGAAACACAATATAAGTACTAAAGTGAAATCATAAAGAGTCACAGAAAAAACCCTCTTTAACCAAAATTAGTCCATCCTGGATTTACACGCTCATATTTGTGCAGTTTGCTGGATAATCCCAACGCTGCAGGCCAACAAATCATGTCAAATCCTCTGAGTATTCGTCATGTCTGCTGCTCTCAGAGAGGCAGTCCTCGACCCTGAGGCTTTCATCACGCTTCACCATTGGATTTCACAAGAATTGTCATGTTTTCTCCAGTGACCTCCACTGTGTTTCCATGACTCTAAGCCATTCATAGAGCGTCTGGCTTATTAAAGAGTCAGGTGGTCCACTTACATCAGCCAGTGTGTGTCTGTTTCCCACTGAGCGCTCGGTGAATAACTTCCCTCTCACAAACCCCTGCTCGACCAGGCATTTGTGACCTTTTCAGATCATCATCTGGGCAGGTATTCCTGTGGAAGTCCGCTAAAGTTCCTGCTCTGCAGGGCCTGGTCGACAGTGTGAATGAAGGAGTCAATCATCTCTTTCATGTCAGGGGTGAAGGGGTCAAAGGAGGACTGCTGGGCCACTGAGCGCTTGAAATGCCCATCCTGGTTGCTCTGGGCGCAAAGCAGCCTCTCCTCAGTCATACTGACATTCAGAAAGCCTGTGATGAGACGGAGCTGAGGGAGGAGAGCTCTCTGCAGCTCCTCGTAGTGCACCACCAGCAGGCGGCGACCAAATTTCAGCCAGCTCAGAGCATGGGATGCCCACCAGGGGGCGTAGCTGGAGACAAATTCTGGCCATTCTGCAAGTGAAAGAGAACACAGCTGAGTTATTTAGACAACAAACAAGTTTCATCCAGGGAGGATGTGATTGTTGAACTGTTGAACAGGGTGACAGAATTCCTTCTGATGTATGCATATGGCCTTTATGCGTAATAGAAAGTTCATATTCAGATTTTCATTCTGAGCAGCTCAGTGTTGATGAGGTTTATCTGGAAACAAAATGAAAGAAAGTTACAGCTTCACAGCACAGATAATTAATTAACGCAGAGAAATTATGCCAGGTCTGAAGGGATGCACATAAAAGGGTCAGTTAACTCAAACTATACTGCTACAAAATAAACATAATCTCAACTATGTCCTCATACTTTGGATAATCTACAGAACACACTATCATCACTTTGCTTTCACATTTTGTGGTTCATGGTCTGTACCCTACACCTCCAGAGCACACCAGAGGTTTTCATAGGGACTATTTCTTTGGTAGAAATTTGCTCTAAAGACTAATTACAGTGACTATATCCAGGGTTAATGCGACACTGTTTCTAGTGCCTGTTTTTTTTTTAAATACTCATTTTTTGTGTGTAAATTGGATGCTTACGAGAAAATCTGAAAATCATTTAATGATTTAATACAACATAGAGATGTAGGAGAGCTTCTGCAGGAGGAGAACTCAGGATGAGATACTAAAAGAATCAAAATAGTGGTAAACCCCTGCCTCCATTACAGCAAATAAACTACGTCCATTACATGTATCATTATTACTAAAGGAGGCGGACGAATAACTAAACATAAGAGACATTGAGCAGAGAGAGCAAGAGAGAGAGGGAGAGAGAAGTCATCGGTAACGAGGCTTCGTACTAACCGCTATGACCAACTCTACATATCAAACAGAGGGTGTTAGACATAAAGGCCTGCCTCTAATAAAAGTCTGTCACATTCTGGAGTTGGAAGTAAATAAAGGCTAAACTATTGTGTATCCCAGACGGAGGCTGTGAGCTGGGGTGGGTTGGCGGGTGCCCCGGTGGCTCACCTGGTGGAGTGTGTGCCATTTGGGAGCCTTTGCCCCGGCGGTCCAGGTTCGAGTGCGATCATTACGATTGTAAAAAACAAAAGAAAGATAGTCTGTCTCTTCTAACTTTCTCTTTTCTCTTTTCTTTAACTTTCATTTATATGTTTGGTAATTTTGTCAGATGACGTTGCTGTTATAAAATCAGGATTTGATCATAGGTGGTCCAGACATATACTACGTGTTGATTTAGTCATTTATTTTATTTATCTATTTTTTTTGGAGGGGGGGGCTTATGTTGTGTAATGTACTGCATAATAATGCCAATGTCTGTATAACAAAAACTCAATAAGGACATTGTTCAGTATGCATGCTGTGATCTTTCTTTGTTACAAATTCTGACTTTAGTGTTTAAATGACTCATATGTGCTGTGTGTTACAGAAACATGGTAATACTCTGGAGTGCAGTCTTCACTGTATATATGAAATCCAAACAGCTTGTCTCAGCACTCACAGTCACAATCACAGAATGCCCTCAGGTCTATGTTGCTGTAACGTCAACAGCAGGACATTATGCAGCAGTAAGTACAGAATCCTTCAGCAGAGCCATAAAGCACTCGACTGTTATGTCTGTGTGGACTGGACTATATTACCTTTACTTTTCCACTGTGTATCTGTGGCGTGTCCTAAATGTCCGGCGCACTTGCGGTTGAATTCGGCCATGAGGGAGCGGTAAGGGTTTCGAATCAGCAGGATGGCAGAGTCGAACATCTCAATCTCTTTCTGACCACTCTCATGGGTCTTCACGCAGATGCTGCGGCCACTCTTCCAGTAGTCCTTCTCTCCTTTGAAACCTGGTACCAATGAATAAATGAATGGATAATGGTCAGCTGCAGGGCAATATTTCACAGTGCACTCACTCAAACGCTCATTTGAAAAGTGGCGCTGTGCCCTCCCCACCTCTGTTGTATAGCGTGCCATCAAAATAGAAGCTGCCAGTGTAGTAGCCCGTCACGAGCTCAATCAGGTGCCGTACCCAGGTGTTGCCTGCACCAGGAAAACTAGACAGAGCCACCAGGGAGCTGGATCTCTGAGGCAGAAACATCCTCTCTTTGCACCTGGAGTCTGGAGGGACAGAGCTGTTATTGTCAGTGTCAGTTGTAGAGCTGCACAAGATCTGAATAATCAGAAAGTCTGGATTCATAGAACCCAGGATGGTTTCATTTTCAGGACAAATGTAACACAGAACAAGTTATTTGTGGCACAAATTGCAGAAAGGCTGCAAGAGCAAAGAAATGGATCAAGAAAACAACACAATATTCACAGACATGTCCAGGAAATGAAGAGTTCAGACTAGGTTATTTTTTACAAGAGCAAAGTGAGGCTCTAAAATGACTGACAGAGCAGAATGGATTAAAATACAGACACGGTCTGGTAATTATTACATCGTCCACTCTCCCTGCTTAAAACCAATCAGAACAAGGCTTCATGTGATTGGAATTTTAAACATGACATGAATGACACATGGTTGTATCTGTATGGCAAATATCTCACCCAGCACAGGGGTGTGATACACCTGGTAGTGGTCATGGTCAGTGGGTGCTGTCGTTGTGGAATTGCTGGTGTGGTTCAGAGCCGGGTTGCCTGCACACTGCTGCTGGTCAGACTGCTGGTTGAGACTGAAAAGAGACGATGTCCACGTACAGAAACAGTGCAGTGTCTTGAACACAGCCAGTGGCAGCTCCTACAAACCAAAAAGCACAAATGGTCTCCAGGTTTTTTTTATGACTCATCATTTTTATTTTTTCTTTATATTCTATCCAAGGCTGATGCGTCAGCTCAGTTCAATGGGAAACATCACATCCTCACTCCTCGCTTTGGTTTTGTTTGTTATTTTTTTCTCACTTTGCTGGTTACTGAAGGTCGGAACGCTCAATGTCAAAGCACAAGGACAGACACTGCAGTAAAATTTTTTGAAAATGTATGCATAATCACACACAGACACGGACACACATGCACACACATACACATACACACAGCACAGTGAGAATTAATCATATTGCACTCACGACCAGATGAAGTGCAGTATTTCTATCAGCCATTTCTGTTTTCAGAGGAGGCACAGCTGCATCCCGTAAGATCTCAGTGCAGGATCCAGACTACTTATCATTAGAGGCACATTAAACCTTAAATATTCAGCAAAATTCAAGGAGCTCTGTGCTCCCACATGTGATCTCCTGGGAGTGGAGACGGCTCTCTGAGCTTGAGAGCCTCCTCTCCTGAGAGTGGAGAACTGCTGGTACACTACAGAGAGCCATGTGCAGTAAACTGATCATCAGGTCTGTAATTTCAGAGGAGCAATTCAAACCTTATCAGTGCAGGTCTCAATGCAGGACTGTGTTGTTAGGTTGGGCTGAAAGGAGTAGACGGGGAAGGTGCTGATTGTGCTCTTCGGCAACCTGAAGCAGCCGCGGTAGTGAACGTTTCTGACTGGAAAGAGAAAAATACATGAGCCGATAGTTGCTCGCTAGTGGCTGGATAACAGTAATTTATTTGCTAGGATTCACCTGCATTGGCCAGCATGAGGAAGTATTTTTATTTATCCACTGACAAGGCAAAGAAAGGGCTTATCAAGAAGATTTTCCAAAATAAGTCTAATCTGGTTTCAGGGTAGAATTTAAATGACCAGCCACTCCTAAGTATTTCTGCCTTCATTGTATCCCTACACTTGATTGGATTCTAGTATATAATACATTCACAGTTCAGCTGCAAACCTCCAGAGACACTGAAGCCTCCCGAGACACTGAACCATCCAATCATGAATATTAATACTGTATATGATATAAAGTCCTTATATAATAGATGTGACCTTGCCAGCAACAAGAAGGGGATGCATATCTTTCAAAGAACAGAAAACAGTTGTACATGAGAAAAGTTCAGGGATAATCAGTGTTGTTGAATTAGCATGAAGCTATTTTGAAATCCTAATAATCATCATTCCATACTAGTAATAAATGAATAAAACATATTTAAATGGAACTCAACCAGAGTAAGTAACAAAGTGCTTAACAGTAAAACATTAAAATACTAATATAACACAAAAACAGATCAAATATGCAGTATCTTATGTGATGGTGCATCACAGTCTGCGTCATATCTGTTTTCTCTGGGCAAAATAAAGAAGCAGACGTTGCCTGTCCTCTGACACACTGAATTCACTCCTCAAAGATTAATCCTCCCTTAAAATTTCTCAACAAATGTCACCAGTCATCAAGGATTTCATGTAAAAATACACCTGTTTAATCAGCCTGAACCATGACGTGGGAATGCAGCAAAGCAGGGAGTCGCTTAGTTGGACAACTCCATTCGATACTCTTTGGCCAAATGATTTTACATTTAAGGTTATTCAGGCCTGTGTCCATTCCTTAATACTGAAGAGAAAGAACGGCTCTGTTATGTCCCAAAACAGGTGAGCGCTGTAGTTTTAATGCATTTGTTGGGGACTATTTTCATTCTAAGATTAATGCACATTCAGTGCTCCAGTCGTTCTCACAGTGGATATAACGTCAGCCTGGGGTGCTTTGAGGACAGGCCAAAGGTGTGGCTCAACAGGTTTCCATATCTTCACTGTTCATTTCTCACGTTTCATCATGTTAAAAAAAAAAATTTGACACTGACTACATTTTCATGATACATTTTCAAAACCCTTTCAAGAGTGCAGTTATGCCACAGCTACTGTAAGACTGCTGACAACAGCACAGTTGTCATTTGTCACAGTTATGCAACCTGCTTTCCTGCGAGAGCTGTGACGACTGTCAGCAGTGATTTGTTGGCGTGTGCAGGTCGAAGAAATGCTGATACGTCTCGGCCTCAACACACACTGAGACACCCAAAAGAAGTGAAATCGGATCAATCTACAAGCCACATCATTCTTTTCTTTTTACTTAAACTTAGGGTGGCCCTCAAGGCGCATGGCGTACCTTGGCAGCATTCATTTCCCACACACCCGCATCACGAGCTGATTGTTACAAAAAGCTTCCCAAGAGGCATAAATGAAGCCTCCTACAAAGAGCTCCCATTAGACAGGATATGGTGGGGAGACTTCCCTGAACTAGCACATGAGTTTGATTAGAGCACAGTATGGAGCAACATTAAGCTAGCTTTGAGGAATCCCGACTATCAACACATTCATTACAACTTTGTACGCAGGATGTACCTGCCCCCCCCCCCGAAAGATGTGTCTCATTAAAGTTATTAATGACGACCCGTGCACCTCGTGCACATCAAAGACTAATGGCACATTTCTTCACATGACATGGGAGTGTCCCCTTGTTCAATTTTGGCAAAGTGTAGCCTCTAAGCTGACGGCATTTATATCAGAGTATACACACAGTGGGGAATGACCTTCCTTGATGTTATTCATATGGAGTTATCAACGGCTTGTAGCTAAAGAGGAAAATGTAAATATGTGGCTCTCAGCTGCTGAGGCAATGAAAGCCCTACTGTGACTTTTTTTTATATCTCAAGATTTGTTATCTGTCACAGCCCACGTCAAATCCAGCAGGTTCATGTATAATCTGTTCCACAAGGTTTTTTGTAATGTTTTTTTTTTCCTTTTTTCCCTTTTCTTTTTCATTGTTATTGTCGCTCTCTAATGTCTATGGATAGGGCACTTTGTGTTGATGTTATGCTTTACTGATTGGCTGTACATCACTGTGTTAAAATTGAAACTAAAAACATTTGATAACAAACAGAAGTAAAATCAGACTGTGTGGTGAAAATTTGGCTCATAGCTTTTTGGAAAGTTACTGTAGCTGTCCCACAGCAGAACAAAAATACTTTTAACTAAACAGCATACTTAGTTTTTATTCACTGTTTAGTATCTGCCATATTGGGGAATATCGCCATAGGGTGGAAACAACTAGATCACAACGTGCACACAAAGTGCTTTATATAAAAACCAAGAGTTTGCAATAAATCAGTAAAACAAGGATAAATACAATTTTTAAAAAAAAAAAAAAAAAGAAGAAAAAAAAAAAGAGGTTTCAAAATGTTTGGTAACGCCTGCTCCACTGAGTGTTTTAGGAAACAGGACAGTGTATGTGTGGATTTTGTATAAATAAACTACAATGCCCAAGGTCATTGTAATGAAAGAACGTGTTGCTCAGTGCAACAGTGTGACTCATTGATGTGGCATTTGATTTTTTCTGTGTTTGTTTTTGGGGAACAATGCAGCTCAGGGGGATGAGATTTACAAGGCTTTGGTTACACAGGTGATATTTGTTAGAAGTATTCATTCAATATTGGTTCTGGTCTGGTTTAGATTGTGATACATCTGATACATCTGAAGATTGTGGAGGAGTCCACAATCTTTACTGATATCACACTCTACTGACTGTTATTTTTTTTTTTTGGAGAATTGAAGTTTAAAAAGTTCACTTGTTTCTCCACTCGTCTGTGAAGTCGCCCACAGTGCAGCTTGTGCAGAGAATAAATAGCAAACAGTCGTGTTCGTTCCCCGAGGGAAGCTGACTTACATTTCCTGTGCCCCGGCAGCTGCTCCTCCACCTTGTAAATGGAGAGTCGGCCAACGCCGCCACACGGAGACCCTCTCTCGCCCCGACAGACCAGACTACAGTCCTCCTCGGGAGCCTGTGGGCTACTGATCCGGTTCCCGCAGTGGCATTCAGCTCCATACTCCAGACCTGCAAACTGGTACCCACTAATCACACACACACACACACACACACACACACACACACTGTCATTGCCGCAGCAGAGGGCATTCCATAACCTCAAGCTATTGCCCTCTGGCTACGCCATCCCACAGGACATTAGTTAACATTTCAAACTTATCATTTAACTCAAACTTTGCCGCATTACATACACAGTCCGGTCCATCCCCTGTGATATTTGTCAGTGCTCTTCCCTCTGCACTCATCTGACTGTGTAATGCCTTTTTTCTGGCTGAACTGCGGTCACCTCTGATCTGTACTTTACATATCAAGGCTGTTGTGACTCATCTCTCTTCCCCTCTCTCTTCATCCTGCCTCCTTGGGAAAGAGAAAGACCTCATCAAAGTTGACCTTTTCATATATGTCCTTTGAAGCTTCCTCATAAATTGCTTTGACTTTTTCCTTTTTCTCATTGCGGTAATTGGCCTGTTCAGGTAACGAGCAAGACTGCTTTCCATGTGGAAGGGTGAGGGGAGTGGGGATTCAGGGGTGGGGAAGTGGGGGAGAAGGCTCAGTGGGCTTGAGATGTGAGCACCAGCTCTCAGTCTGACTGCATCCATCTGTCCTCTGCTGCTCTGTTTCAGCAGGGCTACACTGCTTCATTATAGCTAAGATATTAAAAGGAATAATTCAGGCAGGTCAGTCTTTGAGTTTTGCTTTGAAAAACCCACCTGTCTCTCCACATTGTCTCGAAGGTTTGGAGAGTCACTTCAGCGCTGCTAACTCAGCTCACACTGACCCGCAGATTTTCACACGGCGGACACTTGAAAGCACATCTCTAACCACTGATTTATTCACCAACTGCTGTAGTCAGCTCATTAAGCTTTCTAACACATACACACCTCCCTCCTTCCTTCTTCTGCAACAGATCAAGCCTTCTGTCCTGGCCTGCTCTTCACTCTCCCCTCTCTCACCACCAACCCCCTCATCTTTTACTGTCATCCAGCCACCTGGCTCTCCGCTGGCTCCGCACACAGGAGGCATTCATGGAGGCGACTGAGATCCAAAGCGTTTACTCAAACAGCAGGCCCTCTGTGGTCCCTTCACAGGGGCATGCCGTGAACGCATTACCTTTCCGAGCAGGTGTCCTGACACAGAGAACTGGTCATTTTGCGCAGGTCATAAAGCATGGTTCCTCCCAGGGCTCGATCACTGGCATTGTGTAGAAAGCAGCCGATGTAGGTTCCTGCGTGTGTCAAGAAAAAACAAATACAAGCCAACAAAGAAAACCTTCAATCTGAAAAATCCCCAATAGAGGCATTTTAGCAAGTGCCCTCACAAAATGGAGGTAGTTGATAGAAAAGTGTGTGTCTGTACATTTTGTGCTGAAATGATTAGTTAGCAGTCATTTAATAAGTTAAATAATTAATTAAGCAAAAATACTAAACAGTCTTTCTTTCCAGTGTCTGAAATGTGAGGGGCTGTTTCTTTTCATACAGTATTATTGTAAATGAAATGTCTTTGGGTTTTGGATTGCTTGTTGGAAAAAATAAAGCAATTTGAAGGTAAAATTTTATTGGCTAAATGACATTTTAATGACTGAAATAATCATCAGTTGTAGCTCTAATAACATGAATTGCACCAAATATAAAACTGTTTCTCAGGTTTGTTCTCAAAGATCGATTCTGTGCACAATTTCACAAAAAAAAAGTTTAAAGTTGTAATTTTTAGAATATTTCGTTTTTTATTCTAAAAACTCAATAATAAATCACTATAATTCTAATAATTATAATTATTCTGAATGCCCTTTGAGTGCATATACTTGAGAATAATGCACATAACCTTAATCAGCCATGTATGAAGGTTGACACACTCCACTTTTAACTTGATAAACCTGTCTCTGTCTTCCTCTGTCTTTAGTCTGACACGGGTACTATCCTCTAACAGTGCCAAAGCAGCCTTTGCATAATATAGTCATAATATAAATATAACTAGACCTAATTTATCATCTGATATAGATTATTGTTATTCTGAACCAATGTACTTGCACTAGAATAAAAATCCACTCTGCAGAAAGAAGAGCGTAACGCATAATAGGCTACAACAGACTATTATGATGTGCTGACAAGATCAAGGCTCCATATAAAATGTCACCCAAATTCAGTCTTTGATGTTATCCTTGTCTTTGCTACATTGCTACATCAAACTCAGCTTAGCTGACACATAAAAGTCTTCTTTAGAAATACCAGTCTCTGTGTGGAGGCTAGCATATGCATTTCTTTTGTGGGCTGACTTCATTTACATCTTGCCTCTTGGGTCTGAGACCGGAATATTTTTGGGTTATATGCTGGATGTTTTTACTCATTCTGCTGCGAACAGGTTAAAGTCTAAGATAATTTCCCAGTGTTGGCTTTTAGGTTTATTTCACAAATGCTGGAATGAATTTGTATTCATAGTTGTTTTAAAGGTTTCAAGGAGACCGAGGATTCAGCTTGTGTTTTCTTATGTTTACTTATAATATAAAAATAGACTGATGCCAACCGGTCAAGGAGAGGATTGAAAAGTGTTGGAGGAGAGATGTGGCAGCAAGGTTCACATACAAGATGGAAGCAAGTGATGGACCGTGAAATCTCTGGCAGGCCAAGCATCACCATATCGAATTTGTGATTGAGTCAGTCTGCGATGTCCTCTGAAGCCCGTCCAGCCTGTTGTGCTGGGACGGGGCTGAGTCACCAGTCGCCTGTGCCTCAGGAGACAAATGCTGGAGAACACCAGCAGTTGCTGCCTGAAAGCTCAAAGAGGACGATGCTGCCAAAGTCCTATGGCAGGAAGCATCTCAAGAGGCATCACCTAGAGGCCCCTCGCCCCCCACTCCCTTCACCAAGCAGGGCAGGTCATTGTTGTAATCAAAGTGAAGGAGAAACCCCAGGCAGCAGCAGCAGCTGGGGGTTAATGGAGGGAAGCAGCTTGAATTCCAAGACATGACAGAAATGACCGCACTTAGGTCTGACACTGTGGTGCTTTCTTAAACACCAAGACAGATGGCTGCACTGGAGCTGATTCTTCCCCACAGGATTGGATGGAGGAGGCTAATGACAGAATGGCCGAGTGAGTGCCACTGCCACGGGGAAGATGTGCACTGTGTGTGTTCATTAGAGTGGGTTGAAGAAGGTTCACAGTTTCTCTGCTGGGTCTATAATATCCTCACAGATGGGAGGAGAGTCATCAAAACCACAGCAGACAGGGTCTCAACATATGGTTGGCTGACCAATGGTGGGGTCAGAGGGGATCATCTCAACAGGATGTCTGATACTGAAAAACCCATCAGAAGATGTGCAACATAATCGGCTTCCCTTGCTGAAGACTTTACAGGTGAATCAACACAAACGTCATTATCACAATCAAATGTCATGAAGGATCAACATACAGAGTGTAGCTCCTACTGTGCAACCCCTGTAATACTTCTTACTTCGGATTCCTCCGCACATCTGGTCGTGTGATACATCTGATATCTACTTTACATATCAAGGAATTTGTGACTCCTCCCTGACAGGTACAAAGTTTTCCAGCAGCAGACACAAAGTATTATGCATCTCCCACTTTTATTATAAAATGTTTGAATAGGTAGGCAAGCTCCTGACTCTATGAATATCTGAGACTTACAATGCATTTGCAAACTTTTGCACCCAGCTGTGTAATGTTAATACTGCCATGTGCTGTGTATGAGATTAGTCAGTGAATAAGGATGGAATAATCAAGTATAGAAAATAGAATAGCGAAAAAAACAATTTAATAACAAACCAACGACCTAAAGATATAATATTACAGGCGCAGAGAAGGAAGTAGACTTGTGATTAGAACTACAGGACATCTTGCATATTTCTATTTCTATATATCCATTTTTTTCACCCTTTTTTTTCAGTTCGTCTTTCGGCAGTGCAGAGTTTAGCCTGACAGATACACTGGCATATAACAAATACTGTAGCTACTGACATGTATCCGCCAATAAATACTGAGTAATTGTAGAAATACCAAAGATAGGTTTAAGGTAATTAATAAACACGGTAACCATTACATTGTTTATCCACCAGAGAGCTCTGAGGAGTTTATTTTTACACTGTAAAATGCGGGATTTTACATTTTTTTAACTTCATATATCATATCATTATCTGCCTCAAACATCTGGTTTTCTTTGAACTCCAATCTGGAGTCTCTGTCTGTGATTGATGAGAGCTGTTTGGTGGCTGCAAACCTTGGAGCACATCATGAGAGTCCGGATGTAGCACCTTATCATTTTTACTTCAAGTGGAAACATTTTACCAGTAACTGTCCTTGCCATTTCCCTGCCTTTATTCTGCTGAGTAAGAAAGTGCTTCGTAAACCATTTTACAAAGACAGACGTGATATGTGACACTGGTGTTACATTGGAACTGTGTCTGCAGCTAAAGATTGTTTCTTTAACTCCATTTCATTAAGTTCTCTTCTATTTGTCTTTTAGTCATTTAGTCAAAAGGGAAAAATGCCTATTAGAGTTTCTCAGAGCTCAAGCTGACGTCTTCAGATTGTTTCTTTAGTTCGACCTGTTGTCCAAAACAAAGGTCGTTCACTGTACAATCACACAAAACACAAAACATAACTAATAGGAATAGTTTGACATTATGGGGAATACAATTGTTATCTTTATTCCCGAGAGTTTGATGAAAAGATTGATATCACTCTGTCATCTCTATACTGATGTAAATATGACGTTACAGCTAGCAGACTATTAGCCTAGCTTAGCATAAAAACTGGAAACTGGGGAAACAGCTAGCCTGGCTCGGTCCAAAGTAGCATCATTAGCATTAGCAAAGCTAACATGATACATCTTGTTTGTTTGATCCATACTAAAACCAAAACATAAAAATGTTGTGGTGTTGAAAAGTTAGGTGCTGGACTATTTCTTGTCGTGGAGCAGAGACTGAAGTCTCCGCTGGTTGCTATGGTAACCTCACAACAATGACAAGGCTCCAATTTATCCATTAAATAGACCTAAACGAGACATAACTTTTTAATTAGCGAGCTTTAAGAGGTGGATTTTTCAACTGATTATCAGAATAGTTCAGAACAATTTTCTCTTAACCAATCAATTAATCGAATTACTTCAGCACTAACTGAAAGTGATAAATGCACATAGTTGTATAACTTATTACACTTGTTCTAGAGGGTTTGTGAGTGATATCACATATGGGGCCTGTGTTATTTCTCTGAAACCTTCAGTTCCAGGACATGTGACACAACAGACCTGGGTAATTTAATTGTGTGTCCTGGGTAATACTTTTTAAAAGGAACCTTTTGGCAGACGCCTGTTACTGAAACTGATCTCATTCCCCCCTCCACCGTTTTTCATCTGCATTACCCTGCTTAGTGACTGAGTGGTTATGTAGTGTCAGTTTAAAAAAAGGATTAAGGGGCTCTTGTAGGATGCTTTTCAAGAATGAGCTGGAGGAACAAATGTTCCACTGGAAGTAATTCCATTGTATTTATCATTTCAGCAAAATGGCAAAAACACTGACGGGCACCATTAAACAACAGAGTAAATCTCCGGGGGTATCTTAGAGTACTCAAGTAATAGTGAAGGCTCCTTAACAGAGAGCGCAAGTAGGGAATTATGTGATTTTTATCTTTTGTAATTACTAATTTATTTTCTAGAAACTACTTTGGTGTTTGCCTGCCTTTATGCTCTCTGGCTTTGAGAGGATCAGTGAGCACTAGTTTTCATCTACAAGATCTGAAGCACCCACACGTAAAATGTCATATAAATGTATAATGAAGCTTCTCTAAATGTTCTAAGGTCATGATTATCTGTTCATGAATGTAGAATGAAACCTGATGTGAGCGCACTATGGAAGCCCCATGCAGAGCTTATTACCTTGCCCCAAGGCCATCTGAGCTAAAAAAGTAAATCACAGAATAGAATATAAACGTGTATATTTGCTCCTTCATATATTATTCACCAGTCAACACATCTTCATCCGGATATTTCAGTCTCACATACCCTCTTCCAAAGCTCTATAGCGTGATAGCTGAGAGCTTTTTCTCTCATTTTGCAATATGTGCCTCGCTTTCATGGCAACAGAGCTGCACAGCCTTGGCTGCAGATACACAGTACAGTACAAGGGCAGCTAATTATTGGCAAAACCACATCAGATTTTGTGAGGAGGCCCATCAGGTCAGATCGAAGGTTTATTAGTTTTGGTAAAGCAGACAATAAAGTTGCCGATCAAATTAGTTAAATCAGAACTTTAAAGACTCAAGAGAATTTATTGTACTGGGTTTATTTCTGTGCAGTTTGTGGTGAGCAGTATTAATTTTCTATTCACATAATACTTGACCAGCTTGTTTAGAATACTGTAGTATCTGGTTAACTATCACTTTCATCTTGTTAACATCTAACTTGTACTCTAATTAATGTAATTAGGGCAAGCAGGGTGCAGTGGTCACAGCCACTGATTGCTTTGCTTTGTTTGCCTGCTGGCTAGTTATAAGGAAAGCTACAGTGATGAAGAGCAGAAACATGGGCTAAACATAGAACACTGTCAACTCAATGTGGATGAAAATCCAACTCTTTAGACTGACTATTGAGTGTTTTTATTGGATGTACTCACAGAGACACCTATAGCTAGTCTGCATAGTTATTTACCTTTGTGTCTGCTGCTCCTGTGGAGAGAGACTCTCTGCTCCGGGCTCTCTGGCAGCAAACTGTGAAACCAGCGGCGATGCAAGTGCTGGACCCCAAGGCTCCGGGAAGTGGGCCAGTGTCGCCCTGCCTTGGCTCCCCCTCCGGACACAGACTGAATGGCGGCCCATCTGGAGCGTGCCCTCACGCCCAGGCCTGCAGTCCTGAGGGCGGCAGGAGGCGCTGCGAGGGACAGCATGGGCGGCAGGCTGGCGAGGTTTGGCTGGGTGACTCGGATACTGGAGCGCTGCAGGAGAAGGATGCTGCCTGCCATCAGATAGGCGATGCCCAGGCAGAGAAGCAGCATGTGAGCCCGCTTCAAGAGGCAGTGCAGCTTGTAAAGAGGCGCCACCATTCCCACACTGTTTCCTGTCTCTCACCTCACTGGAAGTCCATTTCATGGATTACGAGCAAGAGGATGGATCTGTAACCTACTTACAACTTCGTAATCTTGGGAAGTCCGGCAGCATCTGGCAACGGTGGAGACATTGTGTCTTGCTCCTTCATTGCCACAATGTCCAGTAGCAGCAGTGGAACAATGAGTGTGTTAGGACAGAGGGGGATGTAATATCCAAGGCTGTGGTCACTGACTCCAGGGTGATCCTTGAGGCACAAAAACACAAGCAGATGGATTTAAAGCACAACTGTATTTCTCTGTGAGCACAGCCAAAAGGAAGGGAAGTATATGTCTGGCGGATTAGATACACAGCTAATGTTGACATATGGACTTATGTTTCTGTCTTGCAGCGTCGTGCAACGCGTCCCTTGGTGTCTGCTGCTTCGTTGCTTTCGTTTGTGTCATTTTTCTTTAATTCAAAACCCTGCCTGGAGTTGTCTTCTGCAATTCCTGCAATTCCTGTTTCATCTGTGAGCTGGGATTCTGCTCTCCTGTCACATTAATCAGTCTTTTATTTTTTTTTATTTTTTTGAAAATAGAAAATTACATTAACCTTTACTAAAAGGACGTTTGAAATGGATTCTCTTTGAGTGCAGAGATTTCATTTAATTCCAGCACTGTCAGATTATATTCAATTTAACACTGGCAATATCTCCCAGCTTTACAATTTAAGTCTCACTTATCACAGTGAAATGACATCATGTGATAAAAACTGTCTGGAGAGCGCGTTATGAAATGGGGATTATCATAGCACTCTATGCAGACCATCTCTGGCTGGATGGATAAGTGGTGAGTAAAACATGCAAACATGAGACGTTGAAGGTTTCAGAATAATTAGGATGTAAAGCACCGTGGTATTCACACCAAGCCTGAGAGAGGGGCAGTAAAGTGCAGCCCTGACCCGCTCATGTGTGTGTGTTTTCCCCGTTTCTGTAGCGATGGTCTCCCCTCTTTGATTCAGCAGATACTTGCAGCCCTATAGAAGTTCCCATGTAACACCAGCCGGCAACCTGTGTTTGCACACCCCTCAACAGATGCCACACAGACTGAGAGACTCTCCTCCTTCACATCCGATGATATCCCTTAATGCCTCGTCGTTTCGGTGGCCGTCACACACCGTCATGCCCTTCAGCTCCACTTTTCATCTCAGGCCTCTCGTATTGTCGCCCATGGAGCGGACCCCACACGCTGTAGCCTACACCCCCCAGCAACCCCCCCAAAAAAGTAGGGGTGCGGTAGTGCTCTCGAGGATTGAAGCAACAGTTTGCACAATGAACAGTCTCGAATCAAGTCGGAGTGCCTAAGTTATGTTCAACTCCATTTTTGTACGCCCTAAATAACTCGCCACACGCTTTTAATCCTAAAATATCCACAGCGGTCTGGTTTGGTTTAGTGGGATGGATGGGAGGTTGAGAGATGAATGAATGAGCAGCGAGAGTAAACACGTATCACCTATTTAAGAAGCCGAGGTCTTCCATCTTAAAAGCCCCTCACTGTGCCTCCACCATTTACAGTAGAGGATGTGTGAGCTGGAGGCTTACCTTCAGCAGTGGAGCGGGACGCACGGCCACCACGTACCGTGCGATCACTCATCGGTTTATGGCCGATGTGATCGCTGTTTTCCCGGCTTGTTGTCCAGTAAACGTTCCCCCGGCTCTCCAGCATTTCCCAGAGCTGGTGTTATATAAGCTCTCTCTCTCTCTCTCTTTCTCTCTCTCTCTCTCTCTCTCTCTCTCTCAGCCAGCCAGTGCTGCTCTCCGTCGCTCTGAAAGGCTGGCACGGCGATATCAAGCACAGGCTGTGTGTGTGTGTGTGTGTGTGTGTGTGAGTCAGTTCGTGAGGGGAGGGGAGGGGGGGGGTAGGTGGGGAGGAGGGCTGGTCAGTGTCATTTGCATTGGTGATCTAAACGCGTCACAGCTCCTCCACTATGCAAACGGGGGAATCGTGTCCAGCTCGCACTGCACATTATAATAAACAGCGGCTTCACCTTATACATCATATCATATCATATCTTATCATATCATATCATCCGACACCGAGCTTCACATCCACAGCGCCTCTATCATCGTGCACTGTTGGACCCAGAGCTTGCAGCAGTGTAGCAGTTGTCTTTACATGAGTTTCGGGGGCAAGTGTAGCCTAAATGACCTATCAGTCATTTTAGGGACAGGTGGCTGTTTGAGTGTGACCAGAACCGACCCTTAAAGGTCCTGCTGTCCTATAAAATCGAGAGCAGCGACCAGTTTGGCAGCTATATCTCCGAGGTCTCATCACGACTAAAGATCCAGATCCAGACCTCAAATCATTGAACAACGTATTGCCCGCGTCTATAGCTGTTCACTTGATTTAGCCTTGAACGGTAGATTAGATGGAGTAGCTACTAAATGAATGGACTTTGCCGTGAGTCATAAATGAAGCATCAGTCAGCCGTGGCTCACGACCGAGTGGACGTCCCTGCATTTCAGCACCAAGAACAGCGCCTCGCCCGCGCGCTCGTGCCATGAGGAAAATTAACAGCGCATAACAAACCGCTTTATGTGATTGGCCTTCAAAATGAGGCCTCCACGTACACCGCGCATGGCCCTGTATACAAGTACTGGTGTGTTCAAGGGTGCATAGTGCCAAAAGAAAATGCATCACCAGTCTTTTCATTTAGTGTAGAGTCTTAAATATGATCTGATCTGGAGTCTCAAACTGTTAAAAAGTTCCATTTCATCAAGCATCTGAAGAAATCTGGGAAATCTTTGAAACCACTTCATTTTTTTCTAATATAACCAAAAGTGGTTTGAAGAAGTTTCTAAATGTGGGGAAGATGAGATGTTGAGGGGGGAAATGATTTCAAAACATACCGTATACAGTAAGGATATAACACATAGCCTATTTTTTCATCCTTGTTTTCTACCCTCCATGCTAATATAACTACCTCCAGTCTTCCATCTCATTGGGACTTGAGGATGTCAGAGGGCATTTATTTTTAGAATACTCAGAATAGTTTACTTGTACTGTAGATCCATACTAGAAAATATGCAACCTGCCGCTCCAGCTGGTAAAGACTATCAAGTGTTTACTTTTCACCAAATGTTTCAGGTCTGTTTCCCTCCTTGACAGCTAAGTTGTGTCTGTCCATAATACCCACATGCTGTTTGAACATTATCAACACCCCCTTGCTGACTGGAAGGTTTGAAAAAATGTGGCAAAACGTTGAATATGTGTTTATAATGTGCTCATGTCAGGTTTCAGATCTAACCACAGTACTGAAGCAGCCCTTATTAGCGTAATCAGTGACCTTAATGATTCCCAATGAATTTCTATTTTACTTTGGCTTAATGTCACTGTTGTCAGTGGTGGGACATCCTGTGTGTCCTCAGAGATTTTAAATCTGCTCAAACTAAGATTGTCTCAGTGGCTTCACAAGCATTAATTCTTGGACCCTTGCATCTTAATTACTGCATGCTCCCACTTTGCAACATTATAAAGACACATATCCTATCACTCATATGCAGATGACATACCGCTGTACATTTCTTTAACTTCTGATCTTCTTAGACCTATGAATTGGTAAAATGTTGAATGTCAAGATAGTTTTTACAGCTGAATAGAAACAAAACTATATCACTAGATACTTAGAACAAGTAAAAAAAAAAAAGGCAGGAGGAATTAGTGTCTGGAGGACAGTGAGTAAGTTAGCAACCTCTGAGATCTGAACATTTATAGTCACTTCAGTAACTTAAGCAGGACATATCAAAAGTTAGAAGAAGCTGGTTCATGCATTCATGTCGGACATGTTAGACTACTGTAATGCAAACAGACAACAGGGAGGCTCCAGATCATTCACAATGCATCACCCAGAGTCCCTATACATACACCCAGAAACTAGCACATTACTCCAGTACTTAAATCACTTCATTGGCTCCAGGTCCAATACAGTTCAACTTATAGTCTTTAATCAATGAATGGTCTGGCTCCCCACTATATATCTTTCTGACCACATTCTCTTCCTTCCAGCTCATACTGGATGTCATATAATAAAACTGGTCAGATATTTGAAAAAAAATGTAGGTCCAAAGTGATCACAGGCAGCCAAAGCCCACACAACATGACACACTCCTACTTCTTGAGTCCACAGAAAATGCATACAGTGGGGTCAATGTACATTACAAGCAATATATTCTGTAATTTAATTTGAAGGAATTTATGGCTGACTCGAAACTCAGAGCCATGTTTCCATAGTAGCAAATTAGTGACACCTGCTAACCAGTATCTCCATGACAATGATCGCTGACACCTGCTGACCGCTAACACCAAATGGCAAACAAAAAAGAGTAAAGCATGGCTCCTAATGTGTGGCTTGCTAACGATGTTGTGGAGTGAGTAATGAGAAGGGAAAGAGATTTTAGAGAGTGCAGTAACCTGTTGGAAATCTGCAGTAGTGAGGAGACTGTCAGTCAATTTCTTCCGTCTGACCTGACTGATGAGTTAGCAAAAGTATTCCATCTTGCCATGTTGAGAAGTCACAGCAGCTCAACTCTGCTACAGCTCTGCGCTGCACTGAGATTTTATGCCACTGTAAGTGTTTTGTACTGTTACACACAGTAAAATGTCCTCTAGCTGTTGAATTGTTCCAGAAGGAAAACATTTTCTTGCAGGAGAGAACGGAGCTGAGCTATTTGAAGTCGTAGCTCTGTCAGACATGTTTTTTACTTTGAAAAAACAAATCTTAATTTACCCAGAATTCATGGCAAATTATTCATTAAAATAATGATGACAGCCTTGGGCAGGAGATGAATTTAAATGATTACCTTAAGTCTGACTATTAGTTAGAGCTAAGTCTGAGTGTATGTGTGTGGGATGGTTGCGTGGTTTGTTAGTGTCTTTTGGAGTGAGGTGGTTGTCACTGTTGTTTGTTCTTGTCTTTTATTGGCATATTCTCACACCACTTGTTGTATGCACTTTAATGTAAGTACAGTGAGTTTCAGTCTAATGAAACGTGCTATATAATACCAATTCCCTTGCCTTGCCTTAAAACTATTGTGTGTTGTCTGGTCTGGGTCTGTTGCCTCATGGGAGTGAGCTGCAGTTAGCTGTTATGTTGCTGTCACCCTCAGCTGACAGGTGTCTTGCTGTAGGGTTTGTTTCATATCCAGTTTATAAAGAGCGACACTGCCTCCTCCGCTGAGCTTAGCTCTGCTCTTATTATTCCAGTCAGCATTAATATCACTGTTTCCCAGCTTTTTCTCTTGTGGTTGTACTATGGAGTTGCAGCCTTGTGTAACGCCCTCTTTGCAAAACAGCTGCACAAAAACATGGCAGCTTATCCACAGGAGCCTGCAGAGGAGGGACGGAGTAAATCCATGCCAGTCTGCTTATTGGCTTTTATTACTCCTCCTTTCACAGTATCCTCATCTCTCACCCCCTGCTTGCTTTGTTAGAGGACGTGGGCCATCTGTCCCCAACAATGCACTCAATTTAAGCTTGCTCAACCCTTCGGGCCAGCTCGCACTCAGACCATTGTAGAGGCAGGATGCTTGAGCTGTCAGTCAGCAGTCCAGACACCGAAGCTCGTCTCTCCTGTCTCTGCCTTTCTCTGCTGCCTCCCACACGTTGATCACCTCAGACAAGACAGAAACACTTGCTGCTGTCTGTATGCAGCGCAATGCCTCAGTCTCTCCTCGATCCCTGTTTCTGCTCGTCTCTCCCAAGGTATTGTCATTCTTCTTCTCTCTCAATTAGAGAGCAGCAACAAGCCAGACTTATAACTGGCTTATGATCATGGAGTCCCTGGATGTGTTTCACTTACACTTGAGACACAGACTTTCTGGGAAGCAGCAATATTTTAAATGCAAATATTTTTTTAATCAGCTCTTCCTAAAAACAGGATAAACAGTGAACACACATAATGAATATTCAGGTTTCATTTTTGGAGAAAAATCTGACTTTAAAGGAGGATAACAGTGTTTTAGTTATTCAGCAGGCTGAGCAGTGTGATCAGTGCTGAGCAAAGTCAAATGCTGGAAGGATCCTGAGCTCTGCATTAGCTGTTTAAGTCCCAGGTGTGTCCAGTTTCCCATGATGCTTTGGGCATTTTGGGATCCGTCAACATACACATTGTACCACAATTAATTCACTTGTTTCTGGAACTTTCTGGGAACTTCAGACAACAACGTTAATGGTGATATGGGATGGGGAGATAAATGTAAGATGATCTGACTCTGAGACAGACTGAACAGCAGCCCACTAGAAAGATCTTTTACTGGTATATTTTTGCATGGACATGGACCTGGATTATGAATTATGAAAAATATTATGAAAGACACCGTCAACTACAGTGAAGAGTCTTATGTGAAGCAGGATTTCACCAAATATCTAGGATCTCTGTGTGCAGACTGGGTCTCTGTTAGCCTGCCTCAACACAGTTATTACAGTAAACTTAGGCCTCTCCCGCAATGGAAATAGCTTTAATGATGTCCATGAGAAATAATAAAGCTGTTTTACTGGTCTCCCTGAAGAGAAAATACTTTGTTTGCTAAATAACACTGAGGCTGAAGTCCATTTCATGTTTTATTGTTGATTATATAATGATCTAAGGGCTGCAGGTTTCTGATGTCCATTCCTGATGAGTTCTTCTGGATGTTTCAGTATAAAACACT